TTCATGTTAGCTACTCTACGACTTACTCGAGATGGTTCTGTTCGCTCTTTTACTTTTTTTGGTTTCTTAACACTCGGTTCTGAACCGTCCTTCTTTGGTCGTCCTCGTCCTCTCTTCGGGGCAGCTGCTGTTTCTGGAGCTTTTGTCTCTTCGACATCTTCTTTAGTTTCTTCCACTTCTACTGGTTTTTCCTCCTGTGTTTCCGCTTGAGTCTCTGGTTTAGCATCAGCTTTAGCAGCACCTTTCTTGCTAGGCATTTTAACGAAAGCTTGGGAGGGGAAGGAAGCAAATTCAACACGGAAAATCGCAAACAACAACTATAATCCACCCAAAGCGAGCAAACAGGCACAGCATTCGATTACTGACAGCGCGAAATTAGTTCCTTTCAAAAACAGGTTTGACCGGTTATGTCAGATCATTGAGCCAATAGCAGAACGAAATTCCAYTGATTGACACTCGAGTTAGCCCGCGTGGTGCTCATGATTTTGACATCAAGAACGGATATGCGTTACGAGGGAGTCAAAGACGAAAAATCACACAAAAGRTCGTCGRTGACACTCTTTATTTTACGGTTATTAGTACTACTAAACCCACAGACATTTCTTTACTATGATTTAGTTGTATTGTTTACTTGTTTTACCCAAAAATCACGATCTTTTCAAAGAACACGTGTGCTTGTRTGGTTTGTGTGCGAGGACGGGAAAAGCCGTCTGTCTRCGAGACCATGACAAAAGAAATACCTCGTTCTAAAAATCGCATAAACTCTTGCATGGAATGCACCCYGCTTTATTACAACTGGYAATTACACAARATTTGATTGACTCTCGCGTACTTTGYTTTTGTCGTTTATACATGGAGATATGATTTTTTTCTCGAATACCGAGCGGCCTCGGAACACCTTCTAGTCAGTCGATTCTCGTCCGGGTTTTCCCCTGCGATCAGCCGCTGACCGTTAAAAACAAGCTTTCACTTTACCAGTCTCCCATGGTCACAAGATAACAGAGGAAACCCGTGTTCACAAATATAGAATAAATAATAATAAAAAAAGCAATGACCCATACAGGATTTCAAGCAAAAAAAGTTATTGCATAGAATATTCATAAATCGAGTGCTTCCATTGTACTTTCAGGGAAATTCTATAATTTTTCTTCAATTTTATTACACAATATATCATCCTATTCTCTAAACTATCCTGGTTAAAAAGAATTACAACTAATTAATCAACGCCAGCTTCAAAATATTATCTTGACTTGTCTTTTCTTATTTTTATACCATAATTGACTATGGACAGACAGACCATATATATTATACAGAGGTGTGCAGTTTTACAGTTGGCAAATTTATTCCCAAGGCAACTAAACCATTCCTTATATCACTCACACTTTTCTTTGTACCTTTCAGTCCCCCTAAAGGATGGACTGCGCAGAAGGACCACGTCCCGCACAATTTTGATTTGATTAAAAGCCATTTCTGAGAAGTACTGACACTCAAGGAGTATTAAAATTCAAGTTCATTGGTGACACAGGATTAACAGCTGATGTTGACATTATATCTTGTAACTGACTATCATCATGTGTAAAAATCTCTGAAGTGTCAACCTGTCCCTCTCCTCTGCTCCTTGCAAGGGATATCTCCCTCATAAGACTCTTACCCTCCTCACGACTCTGGAAGACATGATGGGAATACCGAATTATATCTTACTGAATTTTTCTATAAATCTGCAAACTYGAACAGTGTAAACAMAAATAGGTATTTTTCCATAACTCTTCCCTTGACAGACTTTTGAGKCTTGATTRAAAGGAATKTGCTTGAAACAAATTATCAACAGACTTAAGCCTGAAGTTCATCTGTGAAATTGTTTGGCACTAGTGCCTGCCCCTTGTTTACRTRGTGGCATTGGGAGATGGGGAATGGGCTGCCAGYCCCCCTACCTGCCCTCCCCTAGAGCTGCCATGTAGACTATAAGAACCYTYMATTCACCCTAATTATTTTGTTCATTCAGTTTTTAGGAGATGGATATAGAGCTATTTTAGCTGTAACATGGTCTTTACCTCATTATATTCACAGCACTTGTGTGCATATGTCTCTGCATCTTCAAGCTTTTTTCTTTTTAGGTAAAATCTTGCCATAAATTTATAAGCAATACAAAGATCCTCAACAGAAATCACCTGAAAATAATAAAAAGATAGAATATATATTATTATAGAAAGTAACCAATGTGAGAAGGGTGTGGCCTGTGTAGCAGACATTTTTAGTGGTTCAATTATGTGTGGAGATACGGTAATCGAACCGCTAAAAATGTCTGCTTTAGAAGCTAAGAGGGATGAGATTGTAGTGTAATTAGATCGATCTCACCTACTTCAGCCTTTGCTTTTAGTCTCCTTGCAGCCGCCATTCTTAGTGGTGGGCTCCCTGTCGATAAGGACGACTGCAAGGAGACTACCTTTGGTTTCAGCTTGTTCAACATGCACTAAGTAATGTTAAGTGGGTGGGGTGGGATAATATGTGACTGATTTATCAACTCACTCCAAATAGTATAGTTCCAGCTTGTTCAACATAAGTAATGTGAGAGAGATGTGGTAACACAAGATTGATCTAACAATTGACTCACTCCTATAGTTTCAGCCTGTTCAATGTAACGTAGGTAATATTTGGAAGCATCATCTTCTTCTTCAAGATGTTCATGTAGTCTTGCTAGTTTTATTACCGCAATTCCTTCCATATCCCCAACGGAAATACCTCTGAAAAAACTCTGAACCAAGAAAAATAGGAATAAGAATGATGCAAAACAAATACTGAAGAAAATTTAAAAAAGAGGAAATAAGGACTTCAACAGATAAAAGAGATTTATTTGGTAATATAAAAAAATGGCACAATCACACTATAATATAATTTATGTATCATTTTAGGGAATTCATGTTCAGCATTGTAGACTGTCCATACATTCATGACATGGTCTCAGACTTGAGGATTAATAATTTAATTAGTTCATTAATAATGACCAATACTATGTCAACTCGACAGTTATGCTATCTTGTGCCAAAGATAAGCAGATCAAGGTTGTTCAAAGCTCTAAAAACATTAATCCTGGGTTAAAAAAACCTAATATGAAATTATATTGCAACCATGGATTTATGCTAATTAAACAACCCAAGCTGAATTGCCATATTTCANAAGTTAACACTGAAGTGAACACCAATTTGTGATGGATATTACTAAACATACTGAGACACTTATCTCCATTTGCTACTAGGAAATAAAGACATTAACAGAAGAAAAGCAAGACATAGAAGGAAAATATCTTTTAGAGCTCAATAACTCAAAAGAAACTGCCTCAGAACGYGAAAATAGTCTTAGAGAAGAATTAGAAAGGACTGCTTTAAAATTGAATACTGAACATCAAAATGAACTACAGAACYTACAGCAAGAAATGAAAAACAAACTTGCAGTTTTACAAAGAGAGCTAGAGGATAAATCTCAAAAAGAAAAAGACAAGATAATAAAAGAAAAATCTCAAGTTATTGACAATCTTGAAAATAAGTGCAATGAGCTCAGGAAAAAGATTGAAGATGTTGAAAATGAGTCCAAAAGACTGTATTCAGTTGTACAGGAAAGTGAGAAAGGTCTGGGGTCTGCAACTTCAARTCTGGATTGCTTGAAGCAAGAATTGCAAAAAACTATAGAGGAGTTGCAGAGTACAAAGAAGGAACTTGCAAATGCAAACAACATGTCTTCATCATTACAGGTAAACCATATTTCTTGCAAATCTCGACTACTTTTACTCTTTCCCAATCATCACATTGCTTCTTTCTACTAGAAAAATTTATCTTGTTCATCGTTAGTTACTTGAACTCAGTTGTAGTAATACAATGCATATTATATCCTTTCTAAAAGCCYTTTTCTTCCGTTCTCCACTGTTCTTATCTTTCCTCTTTCGTAATATTTGCATTTTTCATAATTTGCACAGAGTCAGTTGGAAAGACTGAAGAAGGAGTATGAGCARTCTAAAGTGGAAGCYGAAAACAAGTTACAGACCAGCTTACAGTCACTCACAAAAGACCTCGATCAAAAATGGACTAATAAACTAAGGTATTACATTAGAAAATATAGCACAGGGAACCTGGTAATGGAAAACCAGTGAATAAATTACTAGAAAACAATTAGAATAAATTAATAATTTTGAACACAAGTAACACAGGTTCATGAAGTTTACAGGAAAGTGAGTGAACGAGTGACAGATTTGTCTTCCTCCAATAAAACTCTTTGATTGTTTCGCAATCTGCGAGTTAAAAAGCAGTGATGTAAATATTAAAACTTTAATCCAATATTTGATACCATTGTACTTTAAACACTTCTGAATCAAGAGCAATCTCAATAATTAGTTTAATTATTACCATGATTTTTGAATTTTAGTGAAGAGAGCAGRCRACTAAGATCAGAGCTTGATGAACAGCATCAAAAGGAACGTAGAGCTGCWCTCGAAGAGTTGACAAGAATCAAACAAAAAGAAATGGAAATCATGAAGATAGATCTGAACATCAAAATTGAAACACTAATGAGAACGGTAAGTTGAAGAATAAATATTGCAGACTGTCTTCATTTCCCTATCGTAAATCAATTGTTATCTCATCTTTATTTCTATTCTTTCTCTTTCATTTATCCTTCTTCCAATCCCAGGATTCCCCAATTTTCCTTTCATTTCGTAAGTAACAGTTTAAACCTATTTACTCTATTGTTAAATACAGGCTGATGAGATTAAAGAAGACAAGGAGTCATACATAAAACAGACCAGTGATCTTGTTAGTAATTGATTTAACATCTAAAATTTATATTTAAACATATATTTTTTTAAATAAAATCTTTAATTATAAATTTAAACTATTGATCAGTCCGYACCTTATTGCAAAAACATATGCCTTTGGTTTGGAGGTTCAGGGAGTTTTTCTCTCTCTATGAATGGCTAGAGTATTTTAAAATTATTAGTAACAATAAAAAGATTTAAAAAGTTCAACAATATAAACCAAATAATAGACTAAGGATAATATGATTCGCAAAAATTATAACCAGTAACAACAAAAAAGCAAGTAAGACATTGAATTAAACACTGAAACCAAAAACTATTAGAAGAATGAAAATTCTTACTCTCAGATAAAAATATCTTTCATTAGATCTCTAACTATTAATAGTATCAAACACAAAATTCATCTTTTAAATTATATCATATTGAAATAATTACTACTTTTAGATAAAAGACCTTCAAGAAAGCCTTGAGAAGAGAAGAGCAAATGCTTCAAACGTGGAACAACARCTAAGGGAGGACCTTGAAAAACAGCGAATTAGATATGAAGAAGATGCAGCAAAATTAGCTTTGARTCATAACAATAAAGTGAAAGAAATGCAAACGGCTCATCAAGAAGAAATAGAAAAATGGAAAGCCATGGGAGAGGAGAAATTAAAGGTAAAAACAGGAAAAAATATAATCATATAACCTTAAATATTACTTCTATTGAATAACAATCAATTGTATCTGAAGAAGGCTGAATGGCCAAAATGCCCAGCAAATAGAACAGCTTACAAGTTGCACAAAGTTTTGTGAATTGTTTCTATTCTTATAATTAAATTAATTATGTCTTAAAATATCTTTAGTACATGTCTTGATTGTTTTTAATGTCAGGATCTGGAGAAGAGACTACAAGCWAAATACCAAGAAGACATGGCTCTTAATCTTCAAGCTAACAAGGTTGCATTGGAAGCTGTAAAGTCACAGACCGAGAATGCTAAAAAGAAAGAGCTAGAAGACCTAATGGCAAAACATGATGAAGAAAGAGGTAACATGTAGCATTAATACATATCATGACATGTGAAGTTCACTGCCATCTTTTGATATTACTCTTGTTGAATGACAAAAGAACTGTCAAAGTTAAGCTTAAGAGAAACAAAAGAAATAGCTACATGTTGAGTATAAATTGTTTTGGATTTTTTTGTGCATGGTGGTCAATCAAACCACAAATATGGGCAACAATTTTGTAGTTTGAATCAATTTTTTCTGTAAATCTTTGGCTTTTGAAATGTTAATCTCACAAGTTTTTTTCATGATTTAGAACAACTAAGAAGTGAATTAATGCGTAAACAAC